AGATCCGCATAATAAAAAAACAGGGAACAGAGAACAGAGGACTAGTTTTTTAGTATTTCTCTGTTACAGTCGAACGACAGAGGAATTCTCAACTGTAGTTGGTTGGTTCTTACATTCTGATTCGGTTTAAATCCTCGGTGGAAATTAGATCCTGTTCTGTGTTCCCTATTCCTTTTATTGTGCAAAGCCCTTTACTACGTACCGTGCTACGCACTCTTAGGCCCATGTCAAACTATCGACTCTACAAGCCGATTCGACTGCCAACTCTGACTGCCGACCAATAATGGACCAATTACATTGAATCAGTCTTATTGTGATTGGATCATTATTAATCGGCAGTCAGAATTGGCAGTCGAGTTGGCTTGCAGAGTCGGTAGTCTGATACGGGCTTTAGGACCATTCCACACAAACTTGCATAGCCGCATATCCATATGCATAAAGAAAATTATCCAATCACATTTCTGCCATAAAAGCAAACATAAAGTACGATTGGATGGTTTATGCGGCAAGTTTGTGTGGAATGGCTCTTAAGGCCACTGTACAAACTTTTGCATAACGCATAATAACGCATAATACATAAGCGAATCAACTAATCTTTCCTTTCCTCCTAGGCCAGAGAATAAGAATTTCAACCTATCAAATTATGTATTTTGGAATACACAGTTTCTAATAGATGGAAATTCTTATTCTCTATTCTCTGTTCCTTTTATTGTGCGCAGCCTCTAAAAACTAATCGCGGTAAGCAGAGTTCCGAAACTCATTAAGAAGAAAATGTTGCAATCTCTTTTAGCATAGTATAAAGATATACAAAAGTATTGTTCGTTTTTTCTCTCGGGAGCTGCTCGGGGTCACTTTGAATGAACCCACCGTACTTGAAATGTAGGATTAAAGCCTATTCTACAATAGTCGTAAGCGTAATTGTAAGTGATTGTATAATAGTTGTAAGAATTGATCAATCAAGTTGAATATGAGAAGAATATTTGACTGTGATTGGCCAATTTTTACAACTACACCACTTACAACTACATTTACGACTATTGTAGAATAGGCTTAAGGCCTGTTCTATAATAGAGTCATAAGCAGTAAGCCGTAAGAAATTAATCAATCATAATCGATTATTTTTCTCATACTTAACTGTGACTGGCCAATTTCTGACGGCTTACAACCCTATTGTATTAGGTTGTTCGGAAAGTAATTTCGTTTTTTCCCAACAGAGGACTTATTGTATTTTTTCACAGCTAACTTCACACTTAAGCCGCATAATCATTATATATTTTGACAGCTGATATAGCAAGGCTTGCTTGTGAAAAAAGTTCGATTGATTCTACGCAGTAGTTTTTGGTTGGTGCTCTATCAAATATGAAAGTAAAAAATAGTATTTTCGGCATATTTTACTTTTTTACTATCAAAAAGGTAAAAATGCTGTTCAAGCAAGAAAAAAAATATCCAATATGTATGGGAAGATGTATTGACAGAACGCCAGTGCCAAAACTGGTTTGCAAAATTTCGATCCGGCAATTTTGATGTTGAAGATGCACCACGTTCTGGAAGGCCAGTTGAAGCTGATGAAGACACAATAAAGGCATTAATTGATCCAAACCGGCGAATAACAACTCGTGAGATCGCTGAGAGATTAAATTTATCGAATTCGACCGTTCATGATCATTTGAAACGCGTCTGATTGAAAATCGTCTTTCATTTTCATAAGAAAAAACGAAATTACTTTCCGAACAACCTAATAGAATAGACATTAGACCTGGTCATACGACATCTGACATTCATTGTTACTATAATTGTCGGACGTTGTATGACGGTTGTCGTATAGTGCATTAATTCGTTGGGATCATAATAGCAACCCGATTTATCGAAAATAACAAAATGCAATACTAAAAAGTTGATAAAAAATTCTAAAAAAATTCTTAGAGTTCTATGAAATAAAAATAAATAATTTTTGTCTCTTGTAGTTTTTCTGTGAAGTTGATAGTATTTGAGTAAAAAATAAACGTCAATAAGTCGGGCAGCTATTATGATCCAGTGAATTAATGCACTGCACCGTACATAGTATGAATCCTACATTTCAAATACGCTAGATTAGAGTCCTTCTAGTAAAGAGTCAAGTCATAAGAAGTTCCGAGGAAAATTTTACTTGAAATATATAGTACACATAACGTATACTATAGCATACAAAGTAACATCTTCCTCGAAGAGGAAGTTTTGGAATGTAGCCCTAGAAATAATTTAAAAGATTAGTTTACGTCATGCACTTGATACGTGTACTAATTAGTAACTTTCCATTGATTTATCTTAATTTCGACGATACATGTAAACATATACATGATATATGTATTTAATTAATTATTTTGATACATATTATACCACTTTAATATATAATTCTTTAATTACATTGCTGAAATTAACATAATTTAATAGAAAGTTATTAATACTAAATTAATTAATACTAGTTAGTGTATCAAGTACACGATGTAAACTAGGCCACTTAATACGCGTATTAACTAGTAACTTTCTATTAAATTATTTTAATTTCAGAGCAATGTATTCAAAGAATGATGTATCAAATTGGTACAATATACATCATAATGATTAATTAAATACACATATCTTGTATATGTTTCAACGTATCGCTGAAATTAAAATCATTCAATAGAAAGTTACTAGTTAGTACTCGTATCAAATGCACGATATAAACTAAGCCAGTGTTCAGTGTAGAAAGAGATTATTGGCTGCATTCAGTACTACAACCGCTCACTAAGCACTCAGTAAGTTCTTGCATCTGATTGGCATCTTCCGTTAGATCTAAAAATATATACCAAACAGATACGAGAACTCACTGAGCGCTTAGCGAGCGGTTACAGTACTGAATGCACCCATTAATTTCAACTGGAATCCGTTCTAAACATTTCCATAATAAGTATCCTGACCTTCTTACTTTTTTGGATTTTCTCCTCATCCCTTTCAGGCTTTACCTCATTAAATTAAAATGGATATTTCACGTTCTATTCAGGTATTTCGTACGTTTATGTTTGCGCAAAAAAAAACGAAGTAATCTAACGAATCCGATTGGCTACGCTATATTGTAATTGTGCCTTTTAAAATGTAGCATGATCAGCGCTTGCAACTTAAGAAAAAAAATTCGTAAAGTCGATGATAGTAATGAGCAGTGATGATCGATGGTAACTAGTCAGGTCAGACTAGTGCATGATTGCAAATTTCATGTTGTTCATTGAATGTTGAGGATTGTGGTTATTTTTGTAATAAAATTGCTACCTGAAATTGTGAGGAAAAATTTTTAAAGATGGGAAAGGGATTTAATAATTACATGTGTAAAAAGTTTTTTCATCCGGCGTCACGAGACAATTTGAAGCGAGTACGGATATATGGTCTAACCTCTCTTTATGATAACAGAATTTTTTTATTTCTCTTGTCATATTTGAAAAGAAAATCATACCCTTGTAATGTAAATTAAATGTATATTATTGTATCAGGTATGGATGGCGGAACAACAAGCAGAGGCTTACAAGAAGAAGCAGGAGGAGCTGCGAGTGCAGTATGAGAAGGAGCAAGATCTTCATAATAACAAGTAATTAACTCAAAAATGTTTCATGTAACGAGCAGTTTTGTTCCTAATGCAAAGTTTTTTTTCAGAGCGCTACTCAGCAAAGAAAGTAAGGATAAACTTAGTGTCAATTTTATGTATGAACCACCTCCTGGAGCAAAGAAAGAACGGGAGAAGGAAGACAATGAGCCTGAATACAAGTTTGAATGGCAGCGGAAATACAATGCTCCAAGAGAGAGCTACTGCAAAGGGGATAGCGAAATTCGAGATCAACCCTTTGGTATACAAGTGAGGAATGTACGGTGTATCAAATGTCATAAATGGGGACATATAAATACAGGTATCTTAAAATTTTATCTAGTAAGATACAAATATGTTTAAACAAATATTGATAATAAAATATTTTTACAATATAATTCTAATAATAAAAATAGCCAAAGATGAGCTCATAATACAGGGTATTAATAGTAATAAAACTTACTGTATTAGGCACATTAAATTTTACTATTAAAATTTTGAGTGACACTAGTTTCGACTCTAAAAAATCTTGATCACATACAAAAAATAAATTAATCTATCTGCAATGCCTCACAATATTGAATTTATCAAAACCCTTAGTTCGTATCTTTCGATATCTCCCGCGTTCAATAAAGAACGTAATAATTTTAATTATCCTAAAATCAAGCAAATCATTATGATTTTTCATTAATCAACATTAACTTTAATAAGAAATATACTAAGATATGTTACAATTTTCACATTAGAATATTAGATATTGCCAACAGCTAAGAATAAAATAAAAAATATTTTTAGATAAGGAATGCCCATTGTACAGTCAAGCAATGAGCGTTGTAATGGCAAATAATTCGCAGACGCCATCTGCCCCAGACACTATGACTCTCGTGCAACAAATGCGAGAGGATGGTCTAGCTCTGAAAAAGTAAATATATATGTTATTTTTATGTGTTGTATTATATAATATTTAAATAAGTTTTGTTAAATAAATTATGTTAAAAATGAATTAATATTGGTGTATATGAATGCTTTATGCTATTGGCTTTTTATATTCTCTTCTAGATCTGCATTGGATGCACAACAACATTTACGAGTTCCAGAACATGAACATCTTATGGTCTCTGAAGACGAGGAACAATCAGAATTGTTATTTCTAAAATCTCTGTCAAAGAAAGAAAAAAAAAGATTATTATTGTAAGTTAATTCAATTACATAATGTTGTAGTATCCTTTTACTATTGATAAAGTATATTCGAAAACTGATGCTTAAACAGGAAAATTTACTCTTATAATTACAGGAAATTACAGCTTTTAGAAAGAAAAAAACGTAAAAAAGAAAAAAGAAGATTGAAAAAAATAAAAAGCAGTAATAAAAAGCATAGTAGTAATAGCAGTAATAGCAGCAGCAGCAGCAGCAGCAGTAGCAGCAGTAGCAGCAGCAGCAGTAGTAGTGGTGGTAGTAGTAGTAGTAGTGGTAGTAGTAGTGATAGTGATAGTAGTAGTAGTAGCAAAAGCAGCAACATTGATTCGGAAAATTTCCATTCCAAGAAGGACAAAAAAAGAAGGAAAAAAGCTGACTTTAAAGAACAGAGCATTTACAAGATTTACAAACATAAAAGGAAACGAAATTGTGACAAGCACAATTACATGTATAAGAAGATGAATGACCATGCTAAACATGATAAAAATAAGGAGCGTCATAATAGAAAAAGAAAGATTAAATATAGAAATAAGGATAGAACCCATTCAAAACACAATAAAATACATAGAAAGTATCATAATTAATCACTTTAACGATACTCGTTAACTGATGTATCATTTATGAAATTAATAATAAAAAGGAGCGTTTATTGCTTAATGCATTTTGCAATATAATTTTATATTGTACCTTTTCAAGATTATTACGGATAGATATGAATATAAATTAATATATATAAATGATATGTGCATATTAACAGACTAACTTGAATCAATTACAGTAATTTATTCAATGACAATGAAACATTTCTAATAACAATTTGTAATACAAACATTAATTATATGTTTTATTATAATAGCATGCACTTTATTACAAATCAATGAAGCACTTTAATATATTGATATTTTAGTTGCGTGATACACACGCACACACACATACACACACACACACATATGTATATATGTATGTGTATATATGTATTATATTACAAATATTAGCTAGATTATTTTCTTATTTTTTTTATACGGCACGCATTATTCAAATAAATCATAGATAATATGGATATAAGTTTTTCTCACTCTTCTTTCTATTTCGTTTCTAACACGGCTAGTAATAATCCGTTCTTACATACACATTTTTACATATATAATGTACGAATGTATATTATATACGTAATACTAGCCACGTTAGGCTTTGAACACTTGGGCACTTTGAAATCTGCGTGATTATTCTTTTTGCAAATGGATTACACTTTCAATGTAGTACAATACTATAACTTTGGGAAGTAATCGGATTGGCAGCTATATGTACAATTAATCTATTATATATATTTGATTATATATTTTATAAACGCAACAAAACTCGATATATATATATATACATATATATATCTGGAGACATTGGTAGTGTCTCGGCGCTAAGCTATGGAGACACGGACGTACCTCCTTTACGCGAACCGACGAGTTATACATACACAAGGATGGCATGTATTTGAAAACCAGTATTTGTAAGCAACTGTAATTTGTATTTTGTATTTCAGTAGAGCATACGAAAATATTTTGTAGTTTGTATTTTAAATACTAAGATTGATAATTAATCTTATTTTTATTTGAATTACAAAATATAAAAAACTTTCAATCTTTTGATTTTATCTATATGAAATACAAAATGCATACACATAATACTTTCATGTGCTCCGCTGAAATACAAAATACAAACTACATTTGTACTGTAAATATTATGTTTTAAGTGAAAGTATTTCAAATACAGGGTACCAACCATGTACGTATATATGTTCATACTTATGTATGTATGGATAGTTAAAAAGAGAATACACTTATTACATTATTGAAACATTTCACATATTTTTATACTAAAAAGCAATTATAATAAATTCTATCAGAAAAATTCTTTAAAGTGCATCATACTGTTATGCTAAATAGAACCACCGGATTCATTCTGTGTGTGTGTGTGTGTGTGTGTGTCTGTGTGTGTGTCGCGCGCGCGCGCGTGCGTGTGTGTGCGTGCGCGCGCGCGCGTGTACATATATATATTCAGAATGACAGAATGGAGAAATTTCGTTTTCTTTTCCAATTCTATCGGATAGATTTTTTGCACATATAAATATAATTAAATAAACTATGCAGCCAATATAATCAATTATGTCGAATAGTATTGACAGAACAAGATAATCGTAGATCTACTCACTTTTACTTACATTTAATTCCCGATGTTCCATCTTATATACAAGAGTGTACCATTTTAAAAGATCCACTCAAAATATCTCAGAAACACATTAAAATTAAAAAATGTTTCAGATAAAAGTTTTATGATTTTGAAAAGGATACATAAGATGGTATTAACCTTGGGTGGCATTGTCAAGGTGAGGGTAAAGTCACTTTAAATCTTTTAAATGAAATCCTTCCCCCTCTATTTTTTATTGGATATTCCTGTAGCTTACCTCGAGAGTTTTTCAGAACTCTATAATAAAATATTTTTTCATTAAGTACAATACTTTGCGAGTTATAAGACTTGAAAGTTACAGTACCGTCGACATTAACATTACCCAAGGTATCCGACCAACGGGTAATGCTAATGTCTACGGTACTTAATGAAAATGAACTTAATTAAGTGTTTTGGAAAGCTCTCAAGATAAGCTACAAGAATATCTAATAAAAAAATGGGTGGTTCCATTAAAAAAATTCAGTGACCCTACAACGCCATCCAAGAACAAACCAATGATATCATCTTATGTCCTCCTCGAAGTCACAAAACTTTTGTCTGAAATATTTTTCAATTTAATACAATGTTTCTGAGATATTTGAGTGGATCCTTTAAAATGGGACACTGTACAAGTGCGAATCATCGTCGTAACATCCAGAATAACATCCGGAATATAGAATTATTCTTAAAGAGTCAGCATTAAAATAGAACGTGTGTCTCTTACATACATATGTATATAACATTTGTATATCCATTGCATGGAAAATGAAATTCTCCGATAGTTTAGAAAATTATTCCAATTCGCATATATTCACTCGAAGTGTACAGTGTTTTACTTGAAATAAACTGAAATTACTGGTGTGTTGCAATCTTCTAAAGCACTAGAAAGAAAAAAAAATATTACAGGAAAGATTGCCATGATCTAAAAACAAAAGATTTAATCACATAATGATTTTGAAAAGAAAAAAAGAAAAAGAAAAATATTTTCTTCTGTAGCATTATTTCTAAAGTGTCCGTTATATATAATTTAGAGTTATTGAATGAATCAATGTGTATTGTTCGAAATAGTTTAATACTAGTCAATTACGTTACAATCAACGATATGATTGCGATACCTGTATTACTATTGTGATATAATCTTTAGATTTGAACTGCATTCTGCCCATAAATATTTTGTAAAGAATGTACTTGCTCAATTATCCGCACGTATTTACATAGCAAAAAGACATACACTATTCGCTCCGTTGCATTGCGAAGAAATGTTTGGCCGTCTTTTGAAATCGCTAGAGATTTAAGAAAAGTTGCACACACAGGCGCAGACAATATCGCGACATCAAGAAGACTGATCACAAACTCACTGTGCTTATAACTTTTTGCTATACATAATATATTAAATTTGCTAAATATAACTCTGTTTGTCGTCACACATGAATGTGAGAAGAAATGATTCAAACAGATTTATGAGCTATGTTCCTTTCATCCTCCTTAATTTGCATTAAAAAGCTAATAGGTTGCGCGCAATGGGTCGCAGCACTATAAACGGTTCGGTAATTGGCCAAGATCAACCATTTCGGTATCCTCTATGGTATTAGGTCCCATCATATGTTGTCTGTGTTGTTGTTGGAGGTCTAACGATGGGCGCAAATGAACATCCATCGTCCTAGGCGAGGAGAAACCATGTAGACTCGCTGCTGCACCAAAACCCGTATTGTTTAATAGTCCTCTACGCGGGCTTCTAGCGTTGACAACTCTTGGCTGTGCATACATTTCCTCCAGGACACTCGGCGCTACGTATGTGAAACCCTGAAATATCATGTTTGCAGATTCACTGAGAGTACTCTCAACCGGTGAATCGACCGGCACAGTCGCTGTAAATTGCTCGTCGAATTGAGACGTGTCGTCGGCACTCTTTAGGGATGGCTTGAACGGTGGATCCAACTTCCGAGCAATCACGTCCTGCCAATTTATGTGTTTGAAGAAATTGTGGTTTTTAATTTGTTCAGCGTCCTCCGGACCTGAACCCAATCTTTGAACAACTTGTCTCTTTAAGAGTTTTCGAATGAGATCTCGGGCATCTGGCGTCAGATATTGTGGAAGACTCAGCTTTCCGCGTAAGATTTTCTCGATAGTTTTTCTTCGGTCGTCTCCAGTGAACGGTGGCATTCCTGTAAGCATGTCGAACATCAAAGCACCTAAACTCCACCAATCTACAGCTTTACCATGACCGCTCCTAGTTAGAATCTCTGGAGCCATGTATTCTATCGTTCCACAGAATGTATGTGTCACTGTGCCTTCTTGTATGTGCTCTTTACAAAGGCCAAAATCTGTTAACTTAACATGACCCTCGGCATCTAGCAAAATATTCTCTGGCTTCAAGTCCCTATATATTATTCCCTGATTGTGAAGATGTTGCAGGGCCAGGATAATTTCCGACAGATAAAAGCAAGCTGTATCCTCTAAGAAGATACCTTCACGATCAAGGTACGTGAAGAGCTCTCCACCACATAGATACTCCAAGATAAGATATAATTTACCACCAGTTTGGAAGGCATACATGAGATTTACGATAAATGGATGTTTTACAGCCTCCAAGATATTCCTCTCGGCCTTAGTATGCGCGGTATCTTTCTGATTTCGTATAATAGATGCTTTGCGTAGTACTTTCATAGCAAAGATACTGCCTTTATCCTTTCCAGTGACTTTCCTCACTTGGAAGACCTTTCCATAGCCACCCTCTCCTAAAATCTTACACAATTCAAAATCTTGTGGACCAGCCTTCTCTTGACCAGGATTGACATTTTGCTCAGACAATTGAACCCTCTCCAAGTTGTCGGATCTAAAAAGTAGGCCAATAGTTCTGTTCTTTAATAACGATCGACAACATAAAGGAGACGCTATTAAAGAGTGAAATGCTTACTCTAATATAGCGCTTACAGTTGCAGCATGATTGTATTCCTCCTAAGAACGAAGAAGAGATGGAATTAAAATATGTTGCTGTTGAGTATAACTTACATCTTATCAGACACATGCACACTACTTCTCTATTGTCAATCACATCGTCATCTGACTCGTCCTGATTTGCAGCATCCCCATCGTGCAACTCAATATCGAATACTCCCGCCATCCTAGATAGGTCAAATTCACATTCAGGGAGATTCCAACTTAGTTAAGAGGAGCGCATTCAGTTTTTCAACGTGAAACTCTGTATCGAAGCTGGACGAAAATTCGAGTGACATAAGAGCATGTATTGGAATGTACTATAGAAATGTGAGAATCACCAAGCGCGTTTCGAAATTGGACTTACCTCAAATTGATCTGATGTAACGATAAATCGATCGTTTTTACTCAAAATGATTTTTAAAACGATCGCGCAAAGCTGAAAAAGGCTCGCCGCCAGATTTTAACGGCGATACACGAGTCTACATATGTAATCGCAAATACACGCATGAACCACAGAGTTACCTACATTACCTATCATCACTTATATGCGAGGTTAATATCATAGTATGATGGCCGCGGCACAAATTCTTGCATAACGCATAATGCAAAGTGCATAAGGGAATCAACCAATTGAAATTTTTCTTTTTTATGGAATGGAAGGAAGGCAAAGATTCTGATTAGTTGAGTCTTATTTGCTTATGCAATATGCGTTATGTGTTATGCGTTATGCAAAAATGCTGCGGCCTTAAGAATGATCGCATTCAGCACTCTTCTTCTCCTTTACTTATAGGCTCTCGCCTCCAAAAAAAATGATAAGAGAACGATACGGCCAAATCACGTTTAAATTTAGAGACCGAACGGTTGTGTTGTAAACGGGTACAAAGGATATATTAGTATAATCAGAGAGAAATCTGAGAGAAGACATGAACCGTTCATATAATATAAATGTTACATGTGCTACATCGTGCTACCATATATCGATTTATCACCACCAGCCTTGAAAAATGGACGTTGCTATATAGTTTACATCCATTTTGTCAGAGGGCAGCATTTTGCGGTTACAGGTTTTAACCCGTCATGTCCTCTCTCTCAGGTTTCTCTCAAATTAATGGATTCTAAAATGAATAGTCTCTAGTTCTCTTTTGAATAGTCTCGTCGGGGAGCAGAAACCTGACCGTTGCACATTGTAAACGTGCATATACTATAGTTAAAGCACCGACGAAATACTATTAAAGACCGATATCCTTACGGAAGTTGGCGTCCTTATAAATATTGAAATAATTAAGAGTTAAAAACTGAAAATATTGTACTAATTTTATAATTTATTAGTTTAGTGGACGTCTTCATGTATTTAGAACTCAATAATACTCGATTTTTCTTTAAAATTGTGATTTCAGTGCTATCATTAAAATTTGATTATCAACAGAGATGATAAACTGCAGAGAAAAAATTGTAATTTTTCTGCAATATAGAATATTATAGTTTTACAAGTATACATATTTATTTATGGAACATTTATGTAATAAAGAATTATGAATTTAATAATGTATGAACCTAATATTTATGTTAATAATAGCAAATTTATATCAATTGTCGATAATGTCAGCGTTGTTTAATTACCTCCGGGCCCTTGGGGTTCTTTTTATACCGCCGAAAATTTGCCCAGGATTGACAGTCTTTAATAATATCTCGTCAGTGGTTAAAGCTCCCCACTCCCGCAGAAAATTACTATTCGGGACGGAGCCCAATCTTTCAGCTTGGCGACATGTCTGAATAAGGCACTATAAACGTAAATATTCGCATATCCGCCATTTTTACTTCTTTCCCCACTTCTTGCTCTGTTCCCACTCCGCCATTAAACTGAGAAGGTTATGGTCGTTACAGTTTTTATAGGTTATATATTCTAAACTATTGGAAACCTTGTAGCTTCGTATTTATGTATTTCCGCACTTCGAAATTTTACTATAAGACTAAAAGATAAAAGAAGGATATAAAAAAACTGAAATATTATATATTAACGAAAGCAAAAAAATTTATAAAATGCCTTGTTTCGTTGCGGTAAACTATATCAATAGATCAGAAAAAGGTATTCGATTATTTAAATTTCCTGCGGATAATATTCGACAACAATAGATACAAAATTTTAATAGAGAATCTTGGGAACCAACCAAGTAATCATACCTTTGCGAAGTAAATTTACTCGCTTAAATGATCATAACCCGTCGCAGCTCAGTGATGGAATGAGGACAGAGCAAGGAATGGGAAAAGGATAGGAATAAAAATGGTGGATGCGAATACCTACGTTTCAAGTACTCTAGTCTGAAGTTGGCTACTGGCAGTCCATGTGTTTATAGTCAAAGGCTATAGCGCGCCAAAGATGGAACAGAGTAGCGATCATGTAACTTTTTCCCTAGGGAGGAAATGTGAAAAGTGAAAATTCTTTGAATGTATATGTGTATATGTACAAACATACATAAATAAAAATTTTCACTTTTTACATTTACATGATCGCTATTCAGGATATCAATTATGAAACCTTATCTCTAGGATGGAAAATAAAAAGTGAAAATTTTTTCCATTAATTTCAGTGGTAACAATTTTCACTTTTCATTTTCCATTTTAGAAATAAAGTTTCATGATTGATATCCGGGACGCTCGCACAGACAATCACAAGACGGAGTGCTGAGCGGAGTAATTGCTAGATTCACACTGGATTCGACGTGCGAATAAGATTTTGCTACGTATATCGATACAAAATAAAATTCTGCTTTCTGATTGGTTGCAGAATTCATTACCTGTATATTTATGATAATGCTATCAAATAGAAATTGATGGATTACATTATGTACAATATATATATATTTAACGAGGAAAGTAAGTTTTTAATTCTTTTTCTCTTTCAATGAATTTGAAGTTACGTATTTGAAAATAAAGAATTTTAAATAGTTAGTTAATTTTTAAATCAAAGCTCATGTTGCACACACACACATGAAGATATAGAATAAAGTAAAATCAAACTGTATTAATATATTAAAAACTCTAACAAATATAAATCAAGTGATATAACTTATAAATTGCTGAAATTTATTTAGCAATGTAGTATTTTCTTTTAAGAAAACACACTTTGCATCTGTTATATTTATGTGTAACGATTTATTTTTAGTATATAAGACTATTATCAGTTTCTAGTAAAGCGAGAGAAAAGTTTTCAATTAATAGAGCATTTTTCATTTATTCATAAAAATAAACAATTTCATTTTATAATCTAATCTTAAAAAGAACAGTTTACAGCTGTGTAGCGTAGTTCGGAATTAATTCTTGACACTCGGATTGCTCGAAGATCATGTGATCAAGCTCGCCATCTGCTAACTCGGCATCTCAGATTTACATTGCTGAACCTTTAAGGTGCCTTTTCATGCGCAGCTCGCTGCAGCAGCAAAAATGTGACGTGATGCCAATTTTTCATAATTACTTTCGCTGCATTTGCTGCACGTGAAAAGAAATAACAGCAACAGCGTATGTATTAAAGTTTAACCTCAAATATGTGTCTTTCTTTTTGCTCAGCTCGAAAATTAATATAAAAAAACTTAAAAAGCTAAAAACTTGTGATTATATGGCAACTGTTAGTGCAGTTACAATTTGAACAACTATCATTTCAGGTAATTACTTAGAATTTAGAATATCTCCCCACTTCATTTCAAATCTTAATAAAAATGTACTCATTGTATGTACTTATTATAAATGTACTCAATTTTCACATTTTTTGCAAATATTGCAAATGCAGATTTTCTCGACTTGGAATTCTTTGTTGCTCGTTGTTCGTTCGGTTGAATTTCAATGAGATGCGGCAAAATGTATTTTGCGTCGGAAGTGCATCATCTCGTGTAAAATTTTTAACCAATAGTTACGAATTGCTGCCGCAGCGTGCCGCTGCGTATGAAAAGTCAGCTTTATAAGTTGTTTTCATTGCTCGGCAAGTAGGCTGGCAACTAGCCGCTTTGTCAACTTGAACGCGCCGTATGTATCATCCTCCTTCTTTTTACTCCGTGGCTATACCAAATCGGCTACTGCGCATCGCTTATTTCCTCATCTTCCTCTATCATGCTGATCGCTGCCTGCTGTTAGCGGACGACAATGATCATTTTCAGATGTTCTTCTGAATGTTCCTTTTGAATGTTCACGATAAGTGATGATTAATCGGATAAAGATTAAATCGTGATTGACGTATAATGCAATGTTAAACGATATTTGAAACTAATCGATTCGAGGGATGTTGGTGAATTCACGTGGGTGCATTCATTCCATCTGCTGTTTGAAAAGATTGAATTACACAAAGTGAGGTTAGTGAGATTTCGTTTTACTCGCATTAAATTTGATCGATATCTAATCGCGTTGAACCCCAGGCGTTGGATCACAGGCATTTTATTGGAATTTCGTACAAAATCTTTTTAAATACTCTCCGACAATAATTACGCCAATATTTGTTAACGCGATAATTTTAGCTAGGCTAGGCTAGGTTAGGTTAACTCAATTCAATTCAATTCACTCGAGGAGAATAGCGATTAACGAACGTCTAATAGAAATAAAAATTATTACGCAGAAAAATTAGGCGCTTCCGTTTCTTAAATTATACACATCTCGAGTTTTTTCCCTCATTAGATGTGTGTTCTATCTCGTAGAAATTTAGCGCGGGCGCGAGTGTGTGCGCGTGCTCGCATTGTTTCGTCGCATGCGTGCGCGAGCATGAAATGTTCTCAAATGTTCTGAAAACAAAGTACCGGTTTCCGCGGCAACCGCGATTTATCGATTCGCTTAGGCGTCGCCGACCACCACTCGCCACTCACCGCTCACCAGTGTGTAGTCACTGCAGCTGTGTAGCGAGTTTTGCCGCTGTGTGCTGCTCCGCTTGTGCCGCTGCCAAAGTTAGAGTAGCCGTTGCTCCCGAGTAGGAGTTTAAAACGGCTTCACGGACGGCAAGATTCCTCGAGGCGATTCGTAAAATGACGAAGATCCGTCAATTGAGGAGTCGTCTACGAGTGCGTGCACGCAGTGGAACGGCGAAGAAAACGCGAGAAGAGGAAAAACCTCGTCGAGGTTACATCGTTAGAGGAAGAATAACGTTGTGTCGCGTGGAAACCTAATGGCATGTCGTTTATCGTGCTTTTCTAAATCGCGAAGACAGTCGAACTACCGTTACAGAGCGTGTATTATAGAGCAGATGTAAACTGGAAATTGTAGGTAGAAAGGAAGGAATTGACATGCCTTTTCGGAGAATCGGTAGTGATAAAAGACTATCGTCGTTTTTAAGATGACGACTGAAGCAAAAGTAAAGAAATGACTGACGAACGACAAGGAGAAAAAAGAGAGAGAAAGCGAAATAAGAATGGACGTGCTAGAAGGATCAAGTTTAAATTCATACCATTCGTAATGTGAAAACATGATGTGAAAGTGGGTAGGATTATTTGAAGAATATATAACTTACTCTGGGTAAAAGTATATAAGAGTATAGTGTTTAAAAATCTGTAAATTATGTATTGGCTGTGTTAATTAAATAATATTAACCGATAGAAACACCGATGAAGTAACAGAGATGTATAAGATAAGGGGTAGGAGAAGAAGAGAAGGAGCTAGATGGCTGGGTTCCTGGAAGTGTAAATAAGACGAAATAAATGATCGAGACTCGTACTGGGAATGGTAAACGAGAGCTGTGCGAATAACAATAGGATTGGCCGGTGCTGCATCACCTGGCGGGATACGCAGCAGCAGCAGCAGCATGTGCCACTGGAGCACAGGAGATTCCGACGCGTTCATGGGCTGCAGCTGCCACTGCATCCTCAACAGATCGTCGGTTGGGTCCTGCTGATCGTCGTGTTCATCGGTACTTTCACCGTGTTGCTGACGACGCCGCCGCTACTGCCCGATCTGCGCTTCGTCCTCTCGTTACTGTTCGCCGCGTTGTTCCTGCTCCACCTGTCGACCCATTTGACGGTGTTGCTGCTAGATCCGGCCGATCCCGAGGTCCGCGCGCGACCAGCTCGCGCGATCGTACCGGAGTTCGACCGTGCGAAGCATCGGCATGTCATCGAGAACGGGCGATGCCACCTTTGCAACATAACGACGTGCGGTCGCCGGACGAAACACTGTTCGATCTGCAACAAGTGCGTGCCGCGTTTCGACCATCACTGCAAATGGTTGAACAATTGCATCGGCGGCCGTAACTATCCGGCGTTCCTGGTCTGCCTGACGTCGACGCTCGTCGCCGCGCTCGCGGTTACCGCGCTCGCCCTGGGTGAGCTCGTGCTCGTTAACGCACACTTATTCCTAGTCCCGAAATCGAAATCCAATGGGATAAACTGGAACGGATCATCGGTAGTCAACCACTCCACTAATGGAAGATGGGACAGGAGCATGAATAACGGCACGGCGACGCCACCGTTGTTGCCGGTGCCTGGCACCGGCTCGCTCGTCCTCGTCACCGTCATCGGCGTTCTCTCGGCCATCGCCGCGGTGATGCTCATACACCTCTGCTTCTTTCACGGCTATATCGCCTGCCTCGGTCTCACCACGTACGAATATGTGCGCAACAAACGGGAGAGCGCGCAACAAACTGCTGCTGCTGCTGCTGCTGCTGCCGCCGCCGACTCTAGAACAACGTCTACCTCTGGCTACCTATGCGGTCTAGGCATACCTCCTTATTGCACCTCGGCTGACGAGGAGGATCGCGTCGACGGCTCGCGTCCCAGCGCGAGAGCGCGAGCTCTCTATTCTCGCTTCTGCGAGAATGCTCCTTTAACTAGTAAAACTAATACCACCAGCGTGACTACGGACGTGTACGTTTGCTCGACGCACCCCGAGGAAAGCCGGACGGGGGCGGGCGACGTTAAGGATGTCTCCTCCAAGACGAGAGGAGGTGGCCGGAATTTTCGTCTTTGCTTCTCGTACGATTCGCGCACCACCGAGACCTCCATTCAGGTCTCTTCCTCGCAGACGACGGAGTCGTTGGGGAACCATGTGCGTGACTCGCCGGATACCAAATCGTCCTCCACGCCTTCGCCGGTGTCTTGTTGCTTCTCCATCATGAACCATCCCGATGGCGGCAGCAGGCACGACGGAAACGGACGGAAGCGTCGCACCAGTTGTGACAGAGATCACAACAGGATCGAGCCTACGAAACGAGAGAGATCCTGCGGAACGATGAGAAGAATACAGACCTTTCTGCAGGCTCGTCTGAGAAAGGGCTCGAGGCAACGACGGTTAACGACGACCTCGTCCTCGGCGATCGCTCGTCATTGCGGCAACAAGATCATTCCGCAGCCAGGCACTCCTCCGGACATCGCGCTTGCTTTAACCGAACATCAGGATCGGAATGTCGTCGAAGCGTTGACGACGGAAGTGGCGCTGACCACGCCATCGGCTGATGATTACCCACGTCCACCGGCGAGGCTACCTGCCCTAGATTTTTCCCGCAAAATTAGAAAAGTACCTTCGAATACCACTGATATTTCCGTCCTGGGCCAGATACCTGGGCCGCCCTCCACGATATCTAAACGAAATCAAACTCACCTTCGCACACGGCGGAGCGGGAGTTTTTCCAAGAAGAGACCGCACTTCAAGATCGGCTCGCATGTCGTAACGCAGACCGCTCAATTGTCGCCCATACCGGAGTCGGAGCTTTCGAAACCGGCTACGCCGAGATCGCCGTCGCGATCGAATTCTATATTCGCCTTCCCACCATTACACGAGTAACGTCGGCACTGTCGGCACTCGTCATCGATACGCTATATGCGAGTCTGCCTATTTTTTTCTTTTTTTTTTCGTTTTTTTTTACAAAAGAATTACCCAATATATTATTATTTATTAATGAAACTTGTAACATGTACAAATTATACTTATATTTTAATGTGGTGCAAACTGGCAGACGCAGCAACACAATGTCCTGAAAATGAAATTCGATTTCTTCTTGTGGACAAAAAACTCATATATACGTTGTATTATCGCTATCGAGTAAAGCAAAGTAAATGATTAAATTTTCGTTTGATATCGATCGAAAAATTTGTCTAAGCTTTTTACATCAGATGAAAACGTCCGAGGGCATCCCTGTCCATAATTGACAATGTGTCATGCCCAACCAATTATATTAATACAAATGCTTTGTCTCGTGAGAAAGAAATATGATGAGGATATAACTTGCAAGAAATATCAGTTATAATATCAAGTATAGTTAGATATTGTGTAAAGATAAAAAGTTTAATTTTATTGATCATTTTAACAATCGGCCAAGCGTGTAACAGCAAGTAGTACGACGCGATATTATAGTATAGTACTTAGTTCCAAATCGTACGACGTCAGCTTGTACCGATATACGATGCGCAATTGATGTCACTTTATTGAATTTGTAATGCCAGCGAGTGATCACATTATTGCACCGTGACATACGACAAGTAGTTCCTCACTTCCCTCTTGCGGGGGGGAAAGCTAAATGTATAACTTAACTCCGAGCCTTGCGTAGTCGCAAATAATAGCGTCGCTCATGCTACCTTCATAATGCGCGCAGATAATGTCCGAGACTATGGAGTCACCTGACAAAGAGGATGTCTCGAAGAAGAGGACTAACGTTTGGGAAGATTTGGGTTCGCCGCGTTACATAGTCGCACCAATGGTGGATGCGAGCGAATTGGCATGGAGATTACTCAGCAGGCGACACGGCGCCCAGCTCTGTTACACGCCAATGTTGCACTCCTCCGTATTCTGTCGGGATCCCAAATATAGGCGAGAAGCTCTCGCTAGTACTACCGAAGATCGTCCACTGATTGTACAGGTCTGCTTGACACAATTATAGGACTGCGATTTTATAGACTTTATAGACTATAAAATTAGTCTCTCCTCGAGTTAGTTACATTTCGAGATTTTTCGGGATTATACAAAGGGAATATACAAAGGAACATTTAACAAAACTTACAGAACAAAATTTAAAAGTGTAAAGGATACAGCTCCTCGAAATTTAGTTAGAATTCTCAAGTTCGAAATCTCAAGTATGTGACCAAACAATCGTGCGTGACTGAAATAATCTAAGCTCGATAATCGATCCAAGATTCAATAGATGTTTTAAATAATCTTTCACAAACATTTTCGTACAAGTAAATATTTTCAATAAAAACGCAACACAGAACGAAAGAGAAAAGAACATTTGACATTAAATTTTGTGCAATAGTAATTCGTTTTCCAGTTTTGCGGCAGTGATCCAAATATATTATTGGAAGCTGCACGCTGGGCTGAACCATACTGTGATGCAATTGACATCAATATCGGTTGTCCTCAAGCAATTGCAAAGCGAGGACATTATGGAGCTTTCCTACAAGATGATTGGGATTTGTTAAAGAAAATCGGTATGCATCTGCATTTTATAATAATTATACATTTGAACAGATTTTAGACTCTCTGATACGCGAGTATAGTGTAATATAATAAATCTCTTATGTATGTAGTGTCGACATTAAAGAATGGATTATGCGTACCTGTCACTTGTAAATTACGGGTGTTCTCAGAAATCAGTCGTACTGTACAATATGCTTGTATGCTAGAGAATGCAGGTGCTAGCTTACTCACTATCCATGGACGTACAAGAGAACAAAAGGGTCCGTTAACTGGATTAGCGTCTTGGAAGCACATTAAAGCAGTAAGGTAAGTTCTTGTTTTCCATTTCACTTTTCAAGCATTCATTATACATATATGCTTTTTGGTATTTACAATCGAATCTCTGTGCATCTCTTTTGTGCATCTCGTTTTTAATAATTGATACGTTTCGTCAGGGATGCCGTGAAAATTCCTGTGATCGCCAATGGCAACATACAATGTATGCAAGATGTACAGCGGTGCATTGAGGAAATTCACGTGCAAGGTGTGATGTCAGCGGAAGGAAATCTTTATAATCCATACATATTTGAGTCTCGTTATCCCGCCTGTTGGGAACCTGCTCTGGAATATCTGGAACTTGCAGAGCAATATCCGGTACCAGCATCGTACATCCGTGGTCATTTATTTAAACTCTTCCACCATGTGTATGTATTGATTTTTCGATCATGTCGGCTTATAAATAGCAAAACAATTCCCCAAACGTACTCTCATCATACAGCATGCTTTTAACTAGAGAGTAGACTTTGTTTAGCAGAAAATCAAGAAGAAAGAGAAAACTTGGCCACCAACTCCACTTTGGAAGCTTTTAGAAGTGTCGCATATGCCTTGAGGGATCGTTATCTGCCGTATCATGAAGGACATTTGATATGGCAGACGGGAAAGACAGGTAATGACTTGATGTCTACAGAATATTATTTGCATTTGTTACACGTTCACATTAAAAATCTTTTCATATTTTTAGATTATAATTTAGAGTTACCACCGTGGTTGTGTCAACCTTACGTACGAGAGCCACCACAAGAGTACACACAAAAAATACAGGTAGATGAATCAAGTACGAGTAATTGCGTTTACTGTTAATCTTTCTAATATATTATGATTGAAGAAATATTCTTTCAAAATAATGATAATTTTCAGGATGGTGCACCTCGGAAACGTGAATATAGAGACGAGGAAGGAAACGAAATATCACGAAAACGTTCAAAAAAGCTTAAGAGGATAGCGCGTAGACCGAATAGAGCAACTTCGATTCCTAAAAGAAATTCAGATCGGTGTCATGCCTGTCCGAATCCTCTGGTCAGTTGGAATATTTTCAAAATGTGAATTTTTTCTTATCTTACTCTTTAAAAAATTTTCAAAAAAGATAACAAAAAAAAAATAGAAATACTTTGAACAGAAAAAGTTCTAAATTAGCGTTATTTTAAATTGTAGGGTTTTAAATGTGAATATAAATTGTGTCGTCAATGCTGCAGGAACAAATGTTATATAGAAAATTTAGACTGTGCTGGTCACAGAAATCTAACTAAAACTAGAAGACAGATGGCGAAAGAATTCGAAGCAAAGCGTAAGGAAGTTGAAAATATGACATGACACTGTATTAAAATATTTTAAATAAAACTAGATATATAAATGTACATAACATTTTAACTGTTCGTTTCTGGTGAATTTTATTACCATCTTCTATGAGAATACCTGATATTATTTTCGTTTATTTCTTAAATTAATATCAGATACTACAAATCCAATTGAATATATCTACAGTCTATTTTACACAATATCGTATTTTGAAAAGTTAATGAGGTAATATAAGTCTTGGAATCTTCTACCAGAAATTTATAACGATATTGTAATAATTTGTACTATTACTGTGACATGTCCAACGGAATAAAACTATACAGAAGAAGTAGCGATAGGTGCAGCGAAAATGGTCAGTAAATCATTCTTCTTTGCTGATTCGTTATGAGAAGATTCGACTTTATCTCCCTGTTTGTCTGTGTTAGCCCAATACTTTTTACTTGACAATATCAGCATCATCAACAGAGGTAGGTGAAGTATCGAAAATCGAAATAATCTTCTAGAATTTGCACTATCCGAATGCTTATTAAATGTCCAAGCTAAAATTATGAAAATATCATGTATTTGTATAGAAAAAAAAGTACATACATACATACATACACGAAATTTAAAAAGATTGAGGTCAAATTTATATAGTATATTGAAATGTGTCAATAGTTAAATAATGTTTTAAGCAATAATTCATTCAAAGAGCTATAAAAGCATATAAGAATAGCTTTAATAATTTAATTAGATAAACTATTGTCTTTTTCTCCTTTTCTTTTAATACATTAAAAATTTGACTCTAATTTTTAAATATATTGTATATGTAAATTACATCACATGTAAATTTTATACAATTAAAAAAAAAATATATATATATATATAATAAAAGTGTATCTTACCTAGATACAGAAAAGATGCATTGAGTGGCGTCGAAGCCAATGCAAACCACCAATAGGTTACATCCAATGCAGGAGCTAAATAACACAGAGCCATTAAAATTACTGTATATCTCACAGTTGTTTTACGACATAAATCTGGATTTGTAACAGCCATCATTTGATAGCCAGCTCGTGTATAATCTGGTCTTAAGTTCCATGAAAGAGCATTAAAGTGTGGAAATTGCCACGCATATAAAATAGCAGGCAATATCCAAGCACCTGGCGTCAGTATATTGCCACAACAACCTGCCCACCCCATAAGAGGAGGAATAGCTCCTACTGCAAAGGAAATTATAATGTAAGTTTAGTTATAATATTGCGATACACGTGAAGATATATATACTCACCAACAGAGCCAATCCATGTGTTAGCAATACTAACGCGTTTCATGGGAGTATATATAAGCGTATATAAAATAAGATTGCTAGCACCCAGCATTGCCGTGATACCATTTACTTCATGGTAAAGTATAGACAATCCAATGATACCAGATACTGCTGCAAATGCTATTGCATGAACAGGCCTGATGATGTATATGTATATATACAATTGTCATTACTTATAGTATCAAGTTACATAAATCTAATTATGTCGAAATAAAAAAGTTTAAAAAAACTCACGTTAAATGACCACGTACTAATACTCGATTTTTTGTCCGTGACATCTGTGCATCAAAAGAAACTTCAAAAAACTGATTAATTGTATTTGCAGTGGCAGAGACTAAGCCTGTTCCTAAAGAACACATTGCAAATGTATAAAGGTCAAATGGTGCAGGAGCCAGTGCATATCCAGCCATAGTTGTTGC